CGGTACAAAAATATGAATTTATCAAAAAATTCTTCGCGACCAAGCTCCTGTTCATATATACGTTGATGAGCATCACTTAAACAGAAAATCTATTATCTATATCGTATTTGTGTTGCTAGGCTGTGTAAATTACGGAATTATAGAGGCATGAGACTGGTAAATATACAGGAGTAGAAATGAGTATCCGTGACATATGTAAGCATGAAACACAACCTGCAAGCCTTAAAGTTATAGAAAATGAGTAATCAATATAAGACAGATAAGAATTTAAAATTATGGTAACCATTGTATTATTCTATTAGTTGAAAAAACGAATCTGAAAGTGGCAAAACAAAGTAGTGGAAATGAGACAACATAAGGCATTAAGAAGCGGCGTAAGAGGATGCATTTTTAGGCAAATTAAATTTACCGAATCTCATCCTAATTACATCGGCCTTTCAGGCCACAAAAAAGGTTCGATACGACTATCAAAAAATGCAAAATTGAAGAGCAAAGTATATGAATCAAGAAATATACTGGTTCCTAGAAGCTGTCTTAGCACTAGCGACAGAAGCAATTGATTGAAGAAGACCGTCAGCACGAGCCATTGCATCAGCTGCGATTTTCCCCGCTGAAGAGGCTAATGGTAATGGACCAGTAGCAGTTGTATCAGAAAAGCCGATGGAGGCGGACGTAGGCGGTTTTTGAGCTGCAATAGCTAATGTGTCTGCCAAATGGTCAGGGTACGTCGTGTCGTCTGTAGAATGGCCTAGGTAGTGAGATGAGGTGGATGTGGTGGATTGGAGACGACGTTTCAAGGAGTCCCGTTCCCGACAGACAAGTTGCATTCGACGCTCCTGTTCACCAAGACGCTGAGTAAACTCAGCCATCAACTTGGAAAGATCAGGAGAGCCATGTTGGTGCACCTTTTCTAACTGTTCAGCCTGCCTGAGTGGGTCAAAGACCATGAGAGAAGATTAAGTTTAGGTACAATAAAAAATAATTAAGATGTTTGTTAGGTAAAGAGTATAGACAAATTTGAGAGCTAAAGATTATGTTAAGAGATCCATATATGTGGAAGTCTAATGTGCCCACAATTTGAATAAGAGAATGAAGTGTCCGCGTAAGTAATAAGATGGGATCTCAAATATGACAGTAAATATTGGCCTGGCAA